TCTTTAAGATGTTTTCCGTGCCACTGTCTGGCACTTTTTATTCTGCCAGGAGTTAAGCCTTGACACTTCTGCTGAATTTTAAAAGAAAAATCTTTCTTCTTATTTTTCACCTGAATGAGAAGGCTGTGACAGAAAGATTGCATGAAAGGAATGAGTTTACAGTGAAAGGAGTGGGGGGTGGGAAAGGGGTTGACTAACTTAAAAATACTGAAGTGGGCTTTCTCCTATTCCTCCCAGCAGTAAAGGGCTGGTCTCCACTCCTATCATCCCAGCCCCTTTTTTTCCGATACTCACACTCTGAAACATCTCCTAAAGCCCCTCATCTTCACTTCTGCCTTGATCCACAGCACCCCAGAGCCTGCCCTTCTTATGGAAAAGCAGAAAAGTGCAGCTGATGCCAGCATTAACTCACAGCATATTACTGTCTGGTCCAGCAAAGCTGACCTACACTTTGCATGATATAAAGAAATGAAAAGCTCCAGAACTCAGTGCCCACAATGAGACAATTGGCACAGCAAGCAACGAGACTAATACCATCTGTAAGAGACTCTGGGGTACTTGGAGTAATATATTAAAGGAGCCTTTTTAGTCTGCCTGTCTTCACTGTCTATGTTAGCATGCAAAGGAAATCTTGGAATAAAGTCAGCACAAGAGCAAACCCAGGGAAGAAAGTCTTTGGGGGAAACGACTTTCTCAGTCTCTCCTGTCTAATTCTGGACTAAACCACGCTCTGTCTGGATGCCTCATTTTCAATTGACTGCTCTGAATTGGCAGGCCTATTCAGAGTGAGACATCGTGCTGTTTCCTCACTTTCCTGAAAGTTTCAGTGCAGAAGCCTTGATTCAGCAGATAACTTTTTGGCTGTCGGCAAGGAGTTAGAGACCATTGTGGGATTTATGGAGCAAGAAGATCAGAGTCTTTAACACAGAGACATGAAGTGAATGGGAATGCATTTCAGTATTTCCGCCTCTCCCCTTCCTGAATAAAAGAATGATACAGTCAAAAAAAGCAAGATTTTCTTACCCAGACCAGGATCAGCCCTCACTCTCCTGGCAAGAACATATCCCAGCCTCTGGACCTGGCTTACACCATGCTGTAAGTGGTCCCACGACCCAGCATTTCTGCCACAAGAAAGACCCCAGGGCCATAATTCCCCCCTCCTGTGGTTTTCACTGTATCATCTGCCCACACAGCCTCAAATTCAACCTCTCTATTCTGCCAGGGCTAGTTCCCCATGACCCACGTGCCATGTTTGCCCTGCCTCAGATGCCAATTGTGGCCCTCAGGAGCTGCCCTACAGATAACCCACTCATACCCACAGCCCCCTAAAACCACTCAATACACATTTTATGTTAATGCTCCAGAAAACCCATTGCTTTTGCCCTGCTTTCCCTAGAGCCATCTTAAAGGTTTCCAGATCATACTTTTACACATCTGCATAGCACCAGACTACGGTGCTAGAACCTCTGCCCTCAGCAGCACCACTGTCACTCCCACGGTGCATCCCTGTCACATATCTGCCATACAAAATACTCCCCACTTCTTTGAAGAGCCTGTTTCCCCACCCCTAGGGAAATGTATATCCATGTATATTATTAACCCTACTCCATCTGAGATCACCATGTTTCCAACATCTCATTGCTTCCTGAAATCACCGAGCTAACACAGCTGCCTAACACACAGCCATACATGCACACGTGGGACATTGCTACACTTGCTCCTGGCAATAGTTCAGGTCAGAGTTCCCTGAGCTGTAGAGATCAGCTGCTTGTTCTACTCCTCTCCACAGAAACTGCACTTTCAAGTAAGAAGGACACACTATTTCTGATATCACAGCCACAAATCTCCAAGTGCTGACACTCGAAACAGTTTCCATCTGCTTCATTAAAGAACAGAGCTGTGGGTCAGGCTGTTTATTAGGTACTAAAATTTAAATTGAGCAGTTTTCAAAGAGCAAACTTTCCCAACGTGGCATAAAAGTGCTTAGATACCAAAAAAACCCACTGCATGGACAGATTTAGAACCTATCTCAGGTTTTGTTTGATTATTTATAGTATTGTTCTTTTTAAGACAAGAGTAGTTTATCTTGTATGTTAGCTCCAGTTCAATGGAAGCATAGGGACCAACCTACGAGCACGTTCACTTGCCTCTGAAACACCAAAGGCCTTTGTGTCCCTCCAAAGGGACTCTGCAAAGGGACCTATGGACAAAAGTCCCAACACTTGAGGCTCACTAGAATTTCTCACTGAAAAGCAGATTCTACTTCTTGCATGTAACTGGTTTAGACTGTGACTATCTTGACAAAAATTCTACTCACATATCTCAGCATCAGGCTGAGAGGACTATTCACAGTTCAGCACCACTGGTAAAGCCACTGAATGAATGAAAGCAAAATAGGATGGAAAGGAGAAGAGGACTTGGCATAGCCACTTTCATTTCTATTTTGACTTTTGCACTTTTCCCTGATTACAAAGAAACAGACTGTAGTCTTTATAGCAATGTTTTTTTTTATTTAGTGTCCTTTTAGTTTGTTATACTTCAAAGCTTTTTGGTTTGCTTTGTTCAGTGTGTAAAGCCAATATTTACCTACATGTCCATCAGAAGACAATTTCTCCTCAGTGTTTCCAAAGTTTGATTCTCACAGATATGCCAGTATTTCCCACTTACAAGGAGCAGCTCAGACCTAAGATTCATACGTAGAAAATGTGTTTCTCTTTTTTCTTCCCCTATAATATTCTTAGTCAATCTGGCCCTTGCAGGCTGGAAGCTGTGCCTTGTTCAGCCTTTGTTTTTCATTGCACAGCACATTTTCTGTTTCCTGTCACCCCCTATATTCTCACTTTTTCCTTATTGACATTAAAGTAGGACTTCTGCTCCCCGGTCCCAGACTCAGAGATCCACATAAGGGTCATTCCCCCTTTAAAGCTTACCCTCTTCAAAGATCACTTTCCTTTCCACAAGAAGAGTAAAAACCAGAGTGGCAAATGGCTAGAACTTGAGAGAAGGACTCCTATGAAAGCTCTGTGGAGCAAATTCACTCCTTTCCCAAGATCCATCCTTTTCCCATTTTAGCCAGTGAAATAAGCAGCAGTTTTAATAGTTTCACCCTGCCTTGAAACTCTCTGTGCCATAGAGTTGCACTGATGTGCAGCCAGTTACCCAATGCTCCTGCCTCCTGCTCTTCCCTAAAGAAAGCAGCTTCAGCTTGCTTTGAGCAACAAGCAACAGATGTGAACGTTAGCTCAAGCTTGACCACTTTTTGGCAACCTACATTAACTTGCAAAGACACCTGCAGAGATGAGGGAATTCAGGGTTGGGTATTAGGATCTTTTCAAAGACATTTAATTAGTCTGACAATGGCTTAGCTTTGCGAAGTGTTTTTTTTACCTAGTGGCCGTTAAAAACCCTCCATCATCCATAACACTATAATTTGTAGTTATGGTTCCGCATCCCAGTGAATAATTTAAGCTGCACAGACTGTGAAAGTTTTACTACGATGTTAACTCTTCATATTTTTTTCTATGGCAGTTCTTTGAAACATAAACTACTAATGCAGTTACTGGTGACTCATAGTCTTAGCTAGTATTTTTGATGTAGAAAAGATCAATTATTAAATTGAACATTTTTTTTCTTCAGAAACCAGTCCTTTTAAATCTCCTATACAAGGCAGGCACCTAGCTATTTGTGAGCAGGAATCACATTCCTTGAATCTTCTGATATCTCTAAGCACCTGAATTTACTGGATTTGAGCTCAATAAAATCCAGACAGTCTCAGTTGAGAAAGAACAAAATTGTTAGGGCATTCCTTCAGCCAATGAAATATATATTTTTAAATAGGTGAAGTCAGCCGAAAGGTTTGACCCTTCAGAGATTGAACCAACCAAAGCCTTTGAGCTACTGTTTGCAAATTTTCATAGCCACCATAATAGCACCATTTTCTTCAGTGTTGGCAGCAGCAGAAACAAGAAGATTTGCATACTGAAGCATGAGAAGGCATTTAGCATTCCTGTACTCACGTGACACTATTTGGCATAAATTTTCCATAGCATGCCACTTACATTGTGTGCTAAATACCTGTTTTCAGAAGGCAAGGATGTCAGTAGTGAGACATTTCACATGGCTAAGAATGCGCTGGTAGTAAATAACTTCAGTAATTCTCAGTGTTAAATGACACAAGCCAGAAATTTGAACACAAGTTTGCTTTCCTCCATCACTCTTCTATCTAGCGTATTTGCCATTAAAGCCTTAGTTACATCCTTTCACAGCGCAATCCTCTTCCCAGCCTTAGGGTTTTCTATTGGATTAAATGGAATTTCTGGTTCACAATTGCTGTGAGATACATATAGGGCTAAATTGCTCTCTCCAAGGAACAGCAAAAAACAATAACCAAAGATTGCATCACTGTAGTGACTGGAAAACAGGGTCATTTCCTCTGTGGAACAGTGATTTTAGTCAAACTCAAGGAAAGCTGAGATGAGACAAATTATGGATTGATACCAGCACATCTGGTGGCTCTACTCATTTCAGTGGATCTGTGCCAGCTCTCTTAGAACCTAGCTCCCCTGGCTTTAGTGGTTAGGAGTCCAACACCTAGTGGGTAGACACCAACACTTAGCTTGTCTCATCTCAGCAGGATGGCTGAGGGTAACTGTTGAGCAACTGTGACATTGCCTGACTCTTATCAGTTCCAGCCAAGTACCACATGGCACCTCTCAGAGCCTGAGAGTGTGCAGAGGGGGATTGGTGCCTGGGATCAGCTGGCACACACTCAGGTCTTGCCTTAATGAAGTGTCTAAGCGTACCTGAGCCTCCACAGAGGTCACGCTCCTCCCACACACTGCCTCAGTTCTGAGAAGAACAAATTACTGTGTTACCCAACATATCATTAAAGGACTGAGCTTTTTACATGAGATCCAACTGGTCAGAGACTCTTAACACTTAAAATCTCTGCCCTCTGGACACAGCCCCATAACATTTCTAAAACATAGGAAATGCCTTACCTTGGAGAGGACAAATTATGGGCAGGACAGTCATAGTTGAATGTTCAGGACTGTGACCACTAGCTCCTGTAAGAAAGACAAAATGGCAGACCCTGCTGAGATTTTATTGCTAAGGCGAGCTGCCAAACATGCAGACCAGTGATGAGCTTTATTTGCAGTAAAACAGATAGAAACTTTTTTTTTTTTTTTTTAAATCGTGCTAATCCTTATCCATTTTATATCTTTACTCAAGGACTGCTTCTAGGATACCACAAACAAATGGAGAGGCTATACAGATGGGGACAGGCTGCTGAGAGCCCACCCTGAGTGTAAAAAGGACATAAGCTTCTCAAGTGCTCAGACCTACAGAAGAAAAACAAACAGGGACATAAGAGCTGAGGAGCCTGTGTGTATTTTTGGATTTCACTCTTTTTCTCTGCAGCAAATGCTCTCTGGGATATAGATTAAGTCCTCTTGTTCATTTTTCCAGCTGCCTCAGAAGCAGAAATGACAAAGTCTCTCATAAACTGATTGAAAGGTCATTTGATTTCACTGCTGCTGTATCCAAGTACCTCTGTATCCTCCACTGAAATGTCACTGTGTGCCTTCTTCAGAGACACTCCTTAGTGATTACCAGTTAAGGTACATTAGGTGCACATGGAACATTACAGATCACAGGCCAACATCTGTTTTAATTATAATGATATACATTTAATAATCCCATCCTGGTTCAAAGAAATATAAATGAAAAAAAGGTTAAGGCCTTTACAGTATATACCTTAGATATAAGGTCTATCTGTTTTGTCCACTGAAAATAGAAATATTAGAAGCATTGGAAATGCTAATTGGTAATTCAGTAAGAAGTAATGACATTTCTAAGTCTCTAGCACAGTATTATTTTTTTCCCTAAAATACAACCAGTGCTGATGAGGGAAGATGGTTAACTGATAATTTTTCAGTATAACATTTTTCACACACCTGCTCCCTCAAAATGAAATCCCTCTTTAATCAGACTTCAAAACTGTTATAAGTATAAACTGATCACTATGTCTTGCTGACCGTTCTCCATTCAAAATGGTTTCTTATTTATCCAATTATAACAGTAAAAATAGGGTAAAAATAGAAATCAACAGTAAAAGACATTTTTGTTTTCTCCTCTGTAAACTATTAATTGGTCAAGAATTAATTTCAAAGTTTTAGATGCTTCTCATCAAGAGAGTTAGAAATGTTAAGACTTTTAATGAAAAAAAGCAAATATTTTTTATTTCATAGAAAACATCTTTATCAAAATATTACTAATCTAAGGACTTTACCTAGATAACAAGTGCATTTTTATTAAAAAGAAGATATGAGAATTAGACAAAGGAGCATTTTCACCGACTTTTTTTTTTTTTTTTTTTTAACTAGAACTATTTTTCCTCTTGTATTTTTAGGTCTTAATGAAGCAAAGAGGAGAAAGAAAGAAGAAAAAAAAAAAAAAGCAATAAAAGATAACAGATTTGTCCAAATGAGAGGAAAAATCACAAGAGAGAAGAAAAATGAGATGTCTAACATCACTGAAGCTTCCAAAGCTAGCACTATTGTATACTTTGCCAGCAAAAGAACATAAAGATCAAATTGCATGATTTTCCATCTCAAAAGCCTTGTCTTTGCTCACTCAAGAAACCAAGTTGGAAAGAATCTTGTCTTACTTTAAGCACTGAAGATGTTTCATAGCAGCAAGTGTTAGAAGCTCCCGGGAAACTCTCACACACCTGAGATTATTGTGTGAGCCATCATCACCTAACTGTCCCCAGCTGTGTTACGAACAGAGCAGGAAAGTTCACAACATGTAGGAAGGGAGAAAGTTAGCATTGGTATTTATCTTATTGTCTAATACAGAGCAGCATCCGTCAGGAAGCTACAGACCACAAGTTTCTTCAAGGCTAGCTAAGAAAAGCATGTAATAGCCGGAGGGCTTCAGTAGTATGATCACCCAATAAAAATGTTTAAGATTATTTTGGGGGGGGATCAAATGTTTTGAGTAAAAGGACTAAGATGCTTCTCAGTCACTCTCTAAAATCTTGTTCAGTCTCTTAAGACCCTGAGGAACGAGTACTTCAAGTGGAGGTTGAAGCGTGAAATCAATTTGGAAATAAAATTAGAGGCATTATGCAACTTGCATGAATGGTAAAGGAGTGAAGGTACATCAGAATGAAGCCTTTCATTTGAGTATAAATAACATCAAGAATGGGAGGAAGTCGTGCTTGCAGAGTTATAACTTCAGAGTGTTTGCTTACAAGTCACTGTACTATTCTAAATGCTTTTCATTGAGTTTTATTTGAGGAGTAAATTTTTGGAATTTTATGATTATTCCTCATCTGACTTTGACTGAGAGACATTGCTGTTTTGGATTTTGGTAACAACAATGATTTTTTAAAGTCCTGGAAAAATAAAAAAGGTTCTATTCTGTGCTTTACAAGCTATTAAAATAAAATACAGTGAAAAGAAACTGTAAAAGAGTCATGCCTAGTACTGCTTGTCACCTCCTTCCCTTTTGTTCAGAGAATGAAGAAAAAAGGATAATCAATCTTAGGTATGCCTTTTTTGAGTCAGCACAAATTTTGTTTGCTGCAACATAGGAAAGATATTTGGATAATTCCTTATTATTTCTGTGACTTATTCTATCTATTTATATGTTTATCTAAATGTCTCTCATGTCCACAGCACTTAATATTTGAGGATTTATTCTGAGTCCTTGTACCAGATAGGAAATAACAGAGTTCATCTCTTTTATACGTTTGTTTACAGGTGATTACCTTAATACTACTGCTGCTTGATATCTTGTAATGCCCAGAACCAAGGATCATCTGCTACGTTCATTCTAAGTTTAAAAAAAAAAAAAAAAAAAATTACATGTAGGGGCTGTGGAGACAAATAATTATAGAAAGAGCACCATCTATTGTCAGGTAAAAAAAATATTAATACTGTTTATAGGCTTAGAGCTTCAGTAGCGTGGTGACAGCTGTGGGATTGGGATCTACGCCAGCAGCTAAGTGGAAAAATATTCTGAATGCTTTTGGCCCCAGGATGAAATGGCCTAGGTGATATGAATGTCTTGTGTTATCTCTCACAAAATATGAGCTGCTGAAGCTCACGTGGGGCTGGGTGGTTTTTATGCAGCTTTCTTTATAGGGGCCTCTTAGAAGTGAGCCACGAATGAAAACAGAGTGGTAGCAAAGTGAGCAGGGACAATGTGGCATTCAGTGGGATATTTGGATGGCATGAGGCAGAAAAGCAAGGTTTGAGATGTGCTGGCTGGCTGCGGGCAGAACTGGGCATGGTGCAGAGTAGCTAGTGCCCAAGGCAGCAGGAGCAGAGAGAGCCAGCAAGGCCTACCTCACAGCCAGACCCAGCACCACCCCCACAGGGCCAGGCTCTCCCTGCCAGCCTCCATCTTGGCACAGGACAGTTCAGGCTGCTTTTGCTCTGCCCTACAGACATTGCTGATAAAGACCCTGGAATGGCCTGGGGTTTTGCCAGGATTGTGTCTAGAGGGTCAAAATTGAAGCAAGGATATTCCTCGGTGGCTTTTGGAAAGACACAGTCATCCCAGGCAGCACAAGTTGTAATGCCAAACACTTCATAAATCATTTATTCAGCTCTGAGTTTTCACTAGACAGCTTCATTATTGTTTTAATACCTTAATAAGAATGAAAGGCACTGACTCCCCAAACTAGCTTCTGTGGCTATTCCTGCTGCAAGCAGCAGCAGAGGTGACAGAGGAAGCTAAAAGGAGTGAATTATATTCATAGAATGTAAGAAATAACTTCCTCTCCCTTTCCTTCTCAAGCTTTCCCATGTAACTGATCCTACACTGGGACTTTCATTTTGAAGCAGCAGATAACAAAATACAATACAAGGCTGCAGTTAGTGTAATGTCAGACCAGAGAAAGAGCATCTCATCTATGCAGGCAAGCTAATAACTCATCTGCTCAACACTGGCCATGATGCCACCTGGAAGAGCATTTACCATTAGGCAGGATGTTCAGCTACAGAGGCTAAAGGAAAACAAGTAGGTGCATTTGTAAAAGAAAGTGATTCCACTCGGAGGCTTGTGTATGAGTGCTGGACTGGGAAGCTAAGCAAAATATAAATAGTGGCACAAACCATTGACCAGAAATGAGTTGTTTACAGATTTAATGGACAGCAAGAGTCAATTGCAGGGATCAGGGAAAGAGAATACAGTATAGTCCAGAAAGCCAGTGGGCTACTACCACCTACCCACTACTCTGCAGGTAGGCAAGCACTGTATCATGTGAACAAGGAACAGACGAGATGTGGAGATGAGGGAAAGATTTATACTTAATCTGTAATTGCACTGATGGACTCCTTTTTCTCCATTGGCACTGCTTTTGGAGGAATACATGAGTGCAAATTAAGGCAAGGCAAGCAAGGAGTGAAAAAAATATGCTGTGGCTTCAGCATTTAAATCAAGCAAAATATAAGAACCAAGCAAATTCCCATTATAGGCAGTGAGAAGTTCTTAACCACTGTATCAGTGTACATAATAAGAAGAATTATTGCAGTGGAAATAAGTTATTTTTATCTTTATGTATACAGGCTGCATGAAATCAGATCTTAACTTTCCCTCAAAACTTACTGGACCCAAGGTAGGGTGGGATCAATCTGCTCCATCCCTTCTTTTATCTAGTAAAGCTCCTTTCTCTTTCACTCTCACCTTCTTTGTTTCCTCTTGATTATATGATAGACTTACACAGTCTTTTTCATTAGTAGATAGTAAAGTTCTCAACAGCAAAGAGGATGTTATAATCTGCATTTGTTGATGAGTGAGCCAAGGTAGAAGAAATTGCTGAAAATCCACAGCATCAGAGCTTAGAGCTTTCCCAGCCTCCCTTCTTGGGGCCACTCATCTACATTAACTAATGTAATAGGTTGTAAAGCAATAGAATGGAAATATTCCTGCTCTCATTTCCTACCTATTGTATGTTTCACTTGCAATTGAATTTTATAAACTTGACAAAAGAAACATCAAAACTGTAATAATAATAATAATAATATAGCCACTATAGAGGGAAAAAAACAAAAGAGGAAAAGTAAGAGCAAGGTTCAACTCAACCAGAAATATTCTGATAATTCATACATACCAGAAATAATACAGAAAACAAAAATTTCTCCTCTATCAAATAGAGCAAGCTCCAAGCACGCTACATTCATTTTGTCAACTGAAGTTTAGAAGAGAACTTTTTTGTGCGTGTGAATTTTCAGAGATTTTTTTTTTTTTTTTTTTGCTAAACCATTGATTTTTCTAGATAGCATAAAAATGCAGATTTCTTTCTAATGGAACTCCAGGATGGAGTGCCTGGGATTCAGGAGAAATTACAGAGAAAGAAGACGATGACAACGGAATTCTCAGATTTGCAGAATGCTAAGTGAAGCAGTCTTACTTGGAGTTTAATTTCTGATAAATCGGCATTCTGATAAATTAACTCCAGTGATGGTGAGTAAGAGTGAGTCCCACAAAGATATCCATCAGTACAGTTGTGGTGCTCGTCACAATGACAACAAGTAGTCAAGGGATCTGGGCTGTTTCCTAGCTTCAAGACAGAGAAAGATAAAGCTGTTATGGAGTAGTACAGATGGCATGTATAATATTCAGAAAATCTGAAACCACCTCTTGCTATGCCCCCAGATTTTTCTGAGGACTTGGGGAAGCAAATAAGATGTTCAGTTCTGTTTAAGTAAAACAGTAGTCAAAGATTTCTGTGTCTCCACATATTCAGTATTAGGAGTATAGTCTCTCACTAGCTATTGCTACAGAGTTAACATCCATGGGAGAGAGGCTCTGAGCACGCCAGCTAATTACTGCAGTGTAAACAGTGAAGACCAAAAGCACTTTGCCAAAAGGGCTTTGTTTTCCAGGGCTGCCAATTCAGAACCCTTTGCCAGCACTGACTTTGTATAAAAAGATGGACACCGAGGAATAGCATGAGCCATCATACCCCCCAGAAGCACAGGTGAGTGTGGACCAGATCCCAAACTGGAAGGCAGATGATCCTTCAGGAAGCCATGTTCAGCAGCAGGCTTGCCTAGTGTGAGAGATGAACAGTGTGTGACCTTCCAGAAACAAGCTTTCCTTAATCCCAGAGACCACAGAAAAATCTTACTTCCTTCCTGCATCCACAGGGCCACATGCCTCCACCTATTGGAAGGCAGAATACAGTGGAGTACAAGCCAAGCTAATTGAGAAAGAAGAGGTATTTGGTTTTCAAGACATGTTGGATTTTGATTCTAGTGTCTAGACATAGTGGAACTCCTTCAGGAGGATCTGTCAGGTGAAGCTTCCACTAGCACAGTTCTGTTCTGTTCAGGTGGCTAAAAAGCAGTCATCACTTTCTGCACAGCCTCAGCTTTTCAACAGTTTTACTCACCTGGGGCCAATTTTTTCTTAATCCTTCTTCAACTTATCTCTCTTTGGCAATGAAATTTCTTGGTTTTCTCTTCCTTTAATTGTCAACAACTTTGTTTTTCATTGGCATGAGAAATCACGTTCCTCTACAGCAGAGAGAGGTGTGACCCAATATATTTGGTATGCCTGAAAGAAAAATATCCAGAAGGGATGTTTCATGAAATGCCAATTCTTCTGTGTGTTCTATGCTTATCCAGTACTGGCATACATGGTGAACACTGGCAGGAGCAAAATATCTTGTCTACAGTCTTACGGTATTTCTTAAAGCAGAGCATTAAGAAGCATGGCAGTCAATGGCTCTGGACCACCTCTGGGGGAGGAATGTGGCAGCCATTTCAGCAGCAACAGCAATAAAGGCAAATGTTTTAGGAGAAGAGTAATAACTCTCACACCCTTGGTTCTGCTTGCTTCTCCAAGCTATAACATTAGCTCTCTGTGGGATATCTTCAAATAAAAATGTGCTTTCACATTGGAGTCAGCTATTCGGAAGGAACAACATCAAGATTGCATAAAGGAAGATCTTAGAAATGAAATCAAGTCCTGCTGATCCATAAGACCAGGCCAGAGGCATTTTCCTGTGCTGGTGACATGTGTGCAAGGGGATGAGGAAGTCATCATGTATAGAAAAGATAAAATTCACCATTAAGTCAAAGATGATAATACACAGTTACTGCAGCCAATGCTTTTTGGCAGCAAGGTATCAGTAGGGCATAAATGAGACCCTCTTGCCCTGAACTCCTTAACAAAAAAAACAAACAAAAAACAAAAAAACAAACAAAAAACCCCAAAACAAACAAACAAACAAACAAACAAAAAAACAGAAAAAGAAACCACCTACTCTATCTTTCCATACTTCCCCCATAGCTAAATTAATGATAAAATCTTGGTGATTATTCTCGCTTCTGGACTAAGGCCCAGCACCCATGAACTGGAGCCTAGCTTGGAACTACAGGGAACATCATTTTGAAACAGGAAAAGTATTCCCCTCCTCTCCGTTTTTTCAATTTTTCCTTTTCCTTTGTTTTTTTTTTTTTTTAGAATATATGTCCCTCATTTTGATGGGAGAGGAAAAGAAAGAGAGGGAGCTGCAACTGAGCTCAGAATGAATGAAAGGTTATGGACAAGGTGATGAGAATAAATTGTATGTCCAGGACTGGAGGAATTATGGCATCTCTGCACGTCTTCAGGCCTTGAGGGACTGAATCTTTTCAGAAGAAATTCTGGAGACTAGAGGCTTAAATGGGAAGGGAATTAGCGCTTTGCAGTGTGAGGGCTTGAGCATGCATGACTGTGCGCGTCTGGCATGAAAATAATTGTGTCTTTCTCCCTCCAAAAAAGAAGAAAAGGAAAGCAGCCTGGGCCATGCCTTTGGGGAAATCAGCATATGCACAGAGCAGCAACACTGGTATCTTGGGCATCTGCTCTTTCCAGCAGGGAACAAATTTATTCCTTCGGAGCCGCCTGGTGATTTTCCTCTTCACAACAAAACCTCTTCAGGGGAGGGGGATTTGACATGGTAAAAGAGCACTCTACTATGATTTATTTCCTCAAATCTTGGATTTGAAATTCACTACCATTTGACATATTCAAATATTTCTCTTACCTCCAATAAGTAACAAATACAAATGTAAGTCTTTTGCTACTCCTTTCTTCATTAATACAATTTATGTGAGGATTTCAAGGGTCTTTAGGAAGAAATGTTGATATCACCACAGGGGAAGAATAGAATTCAGGAGATAAGTTATTTGTTCAAGGACATATGGCTTTAGAGTAGCAAGCTCAAAACTTGATACCAACTTTCCAAATTCTCTAAACCTGCTCCTGAACATTATTTTGGGTTCAATCTCCAGCTGCAGCCTGCTTTGAAATACAATAAAGCCAACACCAAACACCAATGGCAAACATTTTGAAACCATCACTTAGCAAACATTTTGAAATTCTATTCATGATTAACTGCTTTAAATTGACACACATGTAATATTTTTTTCAGCATTTTCACAGGTTTTATTTTCCAAAATTATTTTGACACACAAAAAGAAGTGGATTTGTTTCTTTTTTTAAGGGATACCAAGTTTTTTCTCATTCACTTAAAAGGGCTAGGCAGAGAGGGCACAAACCTACAGAAACAAAGGCCCCAAAACCACATGCTTTGAATTAGTAACAAATAACTGTGCAAGCAACCCCATGCTCCTTGTTACACACGCATGGTTTCAAGAGCTGCAAAAATATCCAACAGCCCAAAGGACTGAGCTCAGCCCACTACTCATTTCAAGACAATTCCTCAGAGTGCAAATGTTGACAGCAAGGCAAACAGTCTAAAAAATCACTTTTTTCAAAAGACCTTTTTCATGCCAGAGAAAAACATGTTGTTCTTCGTATACCACCTGTTTAACTACTCTGGTTTTCACATTAAATGTCTCTGAAAACATGTTGGAGGTAGCTGTGTGCCCACCCCGTGCTCTGCTTGGTGCTTTGCCCTTCAAGGAGCAGGGACAGAGACCTCAGGGCCACATGAAGGAGATGTGAGTGGGTGGCTTCCATCTGTCTCTGAAAATGTGTGCCCAGTGCTTAGGTAAAGCAGCTCTGCTCTCTACCCTGTGGATTCTTGAACCTCTTAGGCCTCAGTGTGTGCAGTAAATTGCCAGCCAGCTAGCAGGAAGGACTCTTTAGCAGAAGCTGGAGAGGCTCATCCAGTCCTGAATGTATATGCCTATGAGATGTTAGTCGTGCCTTCAAGCACTGCCAGCAAAGGGATATGATACAAACCTGTACAGAAGCGGTAGTACCAGAGAAGACTGAATTATCACAGTCACAATGCAAACATGGCTCAAAGCCCTAACAGGGTAAGGTTCACCACACAGATATGGACTGCAATAGCTATAGAAACGTTGTCTCAACCCAGAACAGGCTCAAGAACAATGTAAGAACACTGTAGAGAGGAAAAAAGAAATCCATATTCCCACTGACAGTACAGGCAATAAAAAGGCCTCATGAGGCCTTCTTGCCTTTTGGATTCAGGAATAATTTAACCTTGAAAACAGAGAAAACCCTTGCACACATCAGAAGCAAACCACAGACACTCCGTGTCCTTGCGGACCCCACCACAGGGACCTGTACCCATGCGTGACAAAAAAGAGCATGTCCTGGCCGTCCTGTGCCTCCGTAACTTGTTGCAACACTGGATCCGCTAGCTCCAGGGAAATGCAGAACAGCCGTTCTCTAGCTTTCCTTTCACCCTATGCCTCTGCCAGGATTGCTGGCACACTTCCACAGTCTGCACCTCTGTTGCACAGAGGCTCAGGGAGCCCAAACCAGACTCAGCTGGAGACAACGCACCTCCAGGACACCACTGTCATGGTGGTACCACATCATCCTTGTTGAGTCATCAACAAAGGGTGGGCGTTTGTAAGACTGAATGCTACATGACTGGTTTCGTTTGTAAAACACAGTATTTGTTTAGTTAGACCCCACTAGTAAGAACACTGCTGGAGCACAACACTTAGTCTCAGCTGGACATGTACTCCAGCTGAAGAGTGTACTGGAACATTAACTTAATGCCCCAAGCAAGTGCTCATAACCTCTCACTTCTACCATTCTTTGTGTGCTTGCGTCCTTACTTTAGGATTTGTTTATGGTACAGATTTTTCTCTTTGCCCACAAGTCTTATAAATTGTTGCTTCTTCAGAACAGTCAGAGAAAGGTTTGGGAGAAAAAATTGCTCACCCCAAATGGAAAAGTAAGGAGAAGAAATGTCATTGGTAAAGCAATGAACAGAAGAAAACAGAAAAGTTGTATTCTTTGAAGAAGCAGTGGCAAACTCACAGCATTTCTTGGACTGTGGAATAAGCTTTCACAGTAGGATCCTGCTGCCTACAGCTGGAATGAGTCTGGAGCCAAAAGTAAATGTGCAATAGGCTACAGGCTGTGTTGACATAGCTGGGCAGCCGAGGATGGTATCACCAGAGCAGCCAGGTGAAAAAAGCTGTGAGGCCTCTTTCCCACTCTGAGATCCCACAACGCTTGCTTTCAGCGTGCACTGAGGTATACCTCTGTTTTTGCAAATCACTGACCCGAATTGCCCTGAATTCCCATAGAGTTCTAGCTTTATTTCATAAGCCTCTTTCTGAGCAGTGACTGGAAGCTGCCTTTCCTCCAATGCATTCACATGCCCTGTAGAGCCACTCTGGGACAAGGAATATTTAAGGTAGTCATGCAGAAGCAGAACAGCTTGCACTGGAGGGGCAGAGCTCTCTCTCCCATATACCCTGGCATCACTAATGCTGATGGCTAAAACACTGTGGTTTTATTTTTTTTAACTGTCTTGGGGAGAGAGATTCAGTTCTGTCCTCTGCCTGGGGAGGTCTGTGTTCCGTGCCTCCAGCACAACTGCTGTGATGAGCAGCCTACAGCCAGCTTCAGGGAGCAAAGGATTCCTAAATCCCAGCTGAGCAGTGGCTTCTGTCACATCCTCTGAACCTAGCTGGCATCAGCTTGGAGGAACCCACGTACCTTGCAGAAGTAATTTCTGAGAAATTATCTCACATTCCCTTTAGTGTACAGACTGAATTTCAAGCATTGGTATTAAAAGATATTTCATTATCAATCTGTACCTGGGAATCATGTCTCTACCTGCTAATATATGCCCCTACTGTCATTGCAGTGAAGAAGGTATAATTCTCAGTTGGTACAAAATTGTGACTGCAGTGCGGGGGAAGGGGGGTTCAAATTGTATCAGCTGGCTATACTTTGACTTCCCTTTTATTTTATGGAAACACAGGATTTAATGCTCTACTGCAGAAATAAGGCTCCTTGGGTTTGCAGAGCTCTCCAAATCAGAAATTAATGACAACACTTATCATCCTTAGGTGCCAAAGCACTCTGTGTAGATCACTGATTACATCGTTTCCCTCATTTTACCAGTGGAGTCCCTTAAACCTGTCTCTGTGATCTGCTGAAGACCAGATATCAGGTAAATGATAGATAAGCTAAGACTCCTAATTCCTAGTCTGTGCTCTGTTGACTGACGTTGTGTGAGGGTCGGAGACTGAGACACAGAGGAATAGGTGAAGAGAACCGAGGCTACATCTCAAGCATTTAAATCAGTCTCCAAACACTCAGGAAAATAT